TCCTGCCCCGACTCAACCCCCCCCCCCCCATCCGCTCCCTGTCCCCAGGACTCCCTGCCCCTGCCTTATCCAACCCTCTCCCAGCCCCGGCCTCTTAACATGCTTCTTACCCCCGTTGGAGCCACGCCAGGGCCGGGGCCGGAGCTGGGCCCAGGGCCACACCGCCCTGCCGGAGTCAGGCCAGGGCTGGGGCCCAGGCCGGAGCCACGCCGCCCGGCCAGAGTCGGGGCCAGGACCGGGCCGGAGCCGGACTGGGCCACGCCTCCCTGGAGCCCTCCTCGCGCCCTCCCGCCCCAGCTTACCTGCCACTGCTTGTTTCCAGGCTTCCCGTGCGAACATCTGATTCGCGGGAAGCAGGGGAGGGGGAGGAGAAGGGGGACAGAGTGTTCAGGGGAGGAGGGAGAGGTGAGCTGGGGCCGGGGGTGGGGCAGACAGCTGCCCGAGCTTGGGAATCGGCTCCCAACTCACAACTGGTCGCGGGGCCTGATTCGGGGGAATCGGCCTAAAGCTGGCCCTGACTGGAACAAATTACCTTGACAGGTTGTGTAATCTCTGTCATTAGAGGTTTTTAAGAACAGGTTAGACAAACACCTGTCAGGGATAGTCTAGATAATATTTGGTCCTACCTCAGTGCAGGGGACTGGACTAGATGACCTATCAAGGTCCCTTCCAGTCCTACATTTCTATGATTCTATACTACATGGGGTTTAAGAAAGTGGAGGAAAGAACACCAAAACGAGCAGCAAGCAAAGGTTAAGAAGGAAATGGTGAGGTGGGGAGAAGTGGTTCACCCCTCAACATACACACATACACACACTACTCCTGTCCAATAGACCCTCCTCATGGTACTGTCAGAGGAAGTTCACTGCAGGCAGTAGCTCACTGGCTATGCATGTGTTTATATCCCAAGAATGCTCTCCAAGCCACCAAATTCTAGAGAGGGAGTCTGAAGAATATCTGAGATAAAAGTCTGTGCTGGGGTGTCAAGTCCCACCCCATACCCTGTGCCATCCAAAATAACTCCCAGAAGGAGAAGTTGTGCAAGGAATTTCAGTCACTCTCCCCTGTCAAGTTAACATGGGTGGGAGCCATGAGCAGGCCTCAAACTGGTTAGCCGGGTGACACCTACTGGTGATAGGTTGGAACTGCAGCTATTTGGGACATGAAAAGGCAAGGACTGAAAAAGAGCATGGAAAGCCTCTGTGGGGGGAGATGTTTCATCTGTGTCCTAGTTCAAAGTCTGCCCATCTTGAGGTGTCTGGCTGATAGTCACACCTTCTGTCCTACTGCACCTGAAGGTGCTGGTCACCATGATGTTTGTATGCTGCCTTGGCTGTCTCTAGGATTTGTTCCAACTCTTCCTGTGTTCCTCGGATTTGATTAATCAGATCTGAGGCTGCAGGAACTGAGTGGGCTGTGGGCAGTGCAAGATGGAAACAGGAGTGGAAACTATAATTGGCAAAAAACAGACTCATCTTGGTAGAGACCTGGTTTGCATTGTTGTATGCAAATTCCATGTGAGGAATCAATGAGGCCCAGTCATTCTGGTGGTAGTTTGTGAAGCATCACACATGTTGTTCTACTGGCGGTTCAATCTTTCTGATTAGCCATCAGCTTGGGGATACACAGCTAGTAGGCAGAACACCTCCCGCCAAAACTGAGATAAAAACTGGGACCCCCAAACTAAGGTGATGTGGTCTGGGAGGCAGAACACATGGGTGATGAGGGGATGAACAGCGTCCTCAGTGGTGGGAAGATGTAAGCAGGGAACAAAGTGTACCATCTTCATCAATGAACCCTTTATTGTCAGTATGGAATGGCATCCCTCAGATTTTGGTAACTCGACAATGAAGTCCATTGTAATATTGGACCAAGGATTCATAAGGGGGTCTTGGTGGGCATTAACATCTCAAAGGGTTTGGTGCAGGGCACTTTGTTACAGCCACAGGTATCGCAAGACCTGGCATAGGCCTGAACATTGGATCACGGTTTTGGCAACCAGAACAATCAACATACCAGAGAGTGGTCTTTGCCTGGCTGAAGTGTCTGGCCCAGGGGACATCATGACAAATATGTAGGGGCTCCAAGTGGGGGCATCCCTCAGGGACTAGATACGCCTATAAACAAGGAGAAGTCCATCCTTGTGTATGAAGTTACCCTGAGGTTCAGCACTGGAAGTTAGGAGTGTCTGGGCGAAGGGGTCATCTGGTAGGGAAGAATTTATGGTCATAAATATTTTAGATAGTAGTGATCCCCTGAGGAAGTGATGTAGTTTCCAGATGCAGGGAGGCTCTTCACCTTAGGATCAGTGGCATATTCCCCTTTGTGGAACAGAACGTCTGCCTTCCTGTTACAGGATTCAGGGCAGTAGGTGATAGTAAAATCAAACCTTGAAAAGAAGAGAGCCCAGCGTAGCTGTCATTGGGTTAGGGCTTTAGCAGAGCACGGGTATTCTAAATTATTGTGGTCAGTGAATACCCGAACAGGGTGCCTGGCTCGTTCTAGTTAATGCCTCCAGGTCTCAAAAACCACTTTGATGGCAAGTAGCTCTTCGTTTGAAATGTCATAATTGTGCTTAGCAAGAGAGAGATTGTGGGAATAATACTCACGGGGATGAACTTCTTGGTTGAGGCCCTGTGTCTGGGACAGTCCCCGCTCCAGGTGAAGGTGTCGGTTTTCAGAATGGATGGCTGATTTGGTCAGGATGTGCAAGGATGGGCATAGAGGTGAATGTCATCTTCAGATATTTGAAGGCTTCTTGGGCTTCTGGTGTCCAAGCAAACTTGGTGGTTTTCACAACAGAGAGGTTACAGGGGCCAGATTTGGGAGTAGTCACATATAAAACTTTTATACAAAGTTGCAAACCCAATGAAGCACTGAATTTCTTGAATGTTTTGCAGCATTGCCCAATCACGAACTGTTTCCACCTTCCAGGGACCCATGCGGTCTCCTTCAGTGGCCAGAATGCAACCTAAGTATTCCATGGCGGGCTGATCAAAGATGCATTTCTCCAGTCAAGCATACAGTCCATGTTGGCAGAGTCTTTCTTGGACGTTGTGCACATGCTGATCTTGCATAGGTTGGTCTTTGGAGTAAATTAGAATGTTGTCACAATCACATGGTGGTACAGCATACCCTGTAAGACATCTTTAATTAGATGCTGAAAGGTCGTGGGCACATTAGTAAGTCCTACAGGCATCACTAGATATTCAATGTGGCCATACCGAGTTTAAAACACAGTTTTCCATTTATCAGATTTTGATTAAGTCATATGCCACTCTGAGGTCTAATTTAGTGACTATCTGGGCTATTCTGACCTGATCCAAGAGGTTTGGGATTAGCAGTACTGGGTATCAATTCTGCACAGTGATTTTATTTAGGGCATGGTAATTTACACACATCAGTAGTTTCTTGACTGATGGGGGCTAGAGGAGAGCAGTGATCCTTCAACTATCTCAACTAAATCAGGGATAGCCTTAGGTTGTATGGATAGGCCAAGTATTTGAGCCACAGTAGAGTCCATGAAGTTATTTCCTGCCCCAGAGTCAATCAAGGCTTTCTTGGAGATGGGGGGGAAGTACCTGTCCAGAATCCCAAAGTTGGAGTTGCAGCTGGAGTTCTAGGTGCAGGGACATTTTCAAAGTGTCAGGCCAGGCACCCAGAATGGTTGCTGGAGGGGGCTGCATGGGGTTTTTCTGGTGTTGTCCAGGCTCAACCTGCCTTATCAAGGTTGGGCAGTCATTTCTCGGAGCCGCATGGTGCAGGGGCTTGCCAGGACAGACACCACGTGGCCGGTGCCACTGTTGTAAAAGCACAAGTTCTCTCACCATCAGTTTTCTCATTCAGAAAAGACCAGTTAGGTCCATGCCGAGTCCACCTGCATGGGCTTGGATGAGGGGGCCTTTGCAGGGATTGTGGATGATGCCTGGACACAGAGTGAAATCCCTTGCCTCTCAAGTTGCCTTTCACTAGGTCAGGTGGTGATTTGGATGCAAAGCTCAATAAACACGCCTAGATCTGTGAGAGGTTCCAGAGAGGCAAGTTCATCTTTTATTTCCTTGCCGAGACCGAGATGGAATCAGTGTAGCTGGCTCAGCTCATTCCAAACTGTATCTGCTGCCAGGCATTGGAAGTGGGCCGCATATGTTGTAGCGGGCCCCAAGACCTAGTGAAGTTTCCATAGAGCCATCTTCATGGTATGAGCCCAGTGAGGATCATGGAAAATTGTCACAAAGGCTCTCAGGAAGATGTCCCAGCTGGCCAGTATGGGATGATCCTGCTCTAGCAACGGGGACAGCCAGTCCAGGGCTTTGCCTATTAAAGCTGATGAGCAGTCCTATCTTTGCCTGGT